TATTATATATATATATTATATAATATATATATATATATATATATATATATATATATATATATAGATTTGACGTACCTGGGAAGCCGGTACTCTCACGACAAAAATAAAATTATACACAAGGACGGGTTACATTTTCGTGAATGGGGCTACCAGGGTTTGCGCTGCATTGGAGATGATCATAAAGAAATTCTTTTGTGTGCATTTAAATATTTTTATAAATAGAAAACACTCTTTACAAAGATAATTTACCAATACGCAATTGCGCAAGGCCTTTGGTAATAAGTGCACAATCAACGCTTACCTTGATACTGTGAATTAACCACCTTGGCTGGCTGAGACGAGGCGGGGCCGCGATGGCAACGGCGGCGGCGTCGTCGGGCACCCTTCGCGTTCCGCCCCGAAGTGCCGTCGGGAAATCGCTCTCCCTCGGGCGATCGACTCCGCTGGCCCCAAACGCAATGGCCGATGATGTTCGCCGGAGTCCACCCCCCCCCCAGCGTTAGAAACAATGTCTCACTGGCACCAAACGGAAACGACGCGCGAATTGACGCCCTGTCAGCAGTTTCAGTCCTTCAGTTTTAATTATAATTATTGATCAACTTTGATTATTACAATACAGAAACGTTCTTCGTTTCAATATGTACACACATGCATAGCCTCCTAGTAGAATCTGTTGCAGAGATACGAGAAACGTGTTCTTCATGTTTTATTTTTTTCTCTGCTTCTATTGAATGTAACAAGCTGAAAAAAATTACAGAGACGAGGAAAATAGTTGCATTTGAAGGTATTTTTGTCAACCAGTGCTGACGCCAAAATGCAAATAGAAAAAAATAAATTTTTGAAATGTATTTTCGAAATGATAACTTTAGAGTAGTCTCAGTTTTTCTCCCTAGAATGTGTCATAACGTTCAATAAAAACTTTTTTTCAGATTTTTAAACAATGTGGACGATAATGAAAGAACATTTAAAAACAATTTTATCAGTTTAAATATTTGAATTTCTATTTGAATTTGTCATCAAAATTGGTTGACAAAAATATCTTCAAACGCAGCTATTGGTCCCGGTCTCTGTATTTTTTTCAGCCTGATATGTGCAATAAAAAATGAGAGAAAATAAAACACGTTGCTCTTTGTATCTTTGCAACAGCTACGACATTTTGTATTCTCTTTCATTTGAGCATCGCAAATATCGATATGATTTGAGGGCACTTTTCACCGTTTAACCTGGCAATACCCTTTCTGCGTATATTTCCTGAGTATGTTTTTTATGATCTCTGTATAATATTCAGATTATTTTGGTGTTTATGGCAACAGGAATAATGCCTATATGAAACTTAGATAACTCTAAATTTTCTATATTCTTCTTCTTGCTCTTGGAATATTCAATTACAAATGTCTTTAAAAAAATACAAAACATTTTAAAATTATATTTGTATGTTCAATATCATTTTTTATATCACCTGGAATCTATTTTAAAATAATAATTGTAATTGTTAATTGTAATGTAATGCTATAGTAATCTACTTTACAATTTCTTTGAGTCACCATTAAATGAAATGTTTCAGAGGATGGGAAACCATCAACGGGAGAACCTCGACGAAGAAGTCGTCGTAACACTGTTAATTCAGGAGATCAAGACGATGTTGACAGTTACTCCTTACATGGTTATGAAACTCCAATTGTCATACACCGCAAATTTGAATCTAATCAACAACTGAATAGTGAGTACATTTTACTTCATCCGTAAGAATTGTGTGCGATACACTTTCGAGGAACTTGAGACAAGCACCAACTTGAAGCTTATTTTACCGAACAATCTCCTGACTTCTTCGTCCCTGGTTCCTTCGTCTGTGGTGTTCTTTTAAATTCCATGAGAAATTCATAAGTTGGTTATGCCACTTCTGGCACACCTTGAGAAGAAATTTGTGGATAATAATTAGGATTCTCACAAATCACATTAGGTCAGGTCTGACACCCTCCCCGCACTTTCACAATGGAACCATTATACTCTCGTTACATGTCACCCACTGGACACATTTATCCTACCTCTCATCCCTAACATAACAGTGTGATCATATTCTAAACTAAAAAACTAATTTAAATCCTACCCTCAATGAGACGTAGGCACTCCCACAAATAGCGGAAACACTAAACCCCAATGGAAGCCAATGCCCAATCACTCTCGTCACTAGCTGCCCTTTACTAATTACTCCATCATTCAATCATCGATCTTGAATGTTTTCCGCCCACGCAACTACTCTCAAATTCCACTCGATCTGGAGAAGCAAGGAAGAATCTTAATTGTATGTTGATGTAATTTTTGTTTTATTGTAAATATATGAGCATAGTAAACGAATGCTATAAACCAGTAAAGTGAACAAAAACAACGTATTCAAGTTTACTGTCCTAGGTGATTTAGTGCTTAATATTTTATTCTGATGCACTCACGTAAGTTGATTATTGAGTGTATCTGCTCACTTTACATGTGACCCAAGCGTTGCTCAAGGTAGTAATCACGAATTTATTAGTATTAGTGAATTTAAATGTCCACTCTTTATTGTTAAACCTTCATATTTTTCCAAAATTGAAAATGGTCATAAAATTCTGTGTTGAACTATTTTATCTCTGTTATTGTCTAGTTTGATAATTATATTGTGTGGAGGGAGTTTTGTTTGCAAGTAGACTTTAAAAATTGATGAGGGTTACCAAAGATCAAAAATTAATTATGTGGCCTACAATCATAGAAGGGATATGTGCCGGGACAAATGTTAACGTCATAAGTAGTTGGCATTATACATTATGATTGTTCCTGATTCGACTCCTAGATACGAGACAGTTTGAACTGATAAGCGTCACAATAATTTATATTCCATGAATTTAAAATTGAGTAAGATTTCATAAATGCAGTTGGCTGCATGTCATAACCCGTTATTTGAATCAGTACCATTTCATCTTCAACATCTGACAATTGTTCGATATTCGCACATTAGGCAGGTATTTGTTCATATTCAGAAGAATTATCACGTTGACGGTAGCACTCATGAGCTTATTTAAAAATATTAGTCATAAATTTTACTTATCATTCTTTTGAGGGATACGATCGAAATACAAAATTAATTAATCAAATCATCAAATTAAAACTGCGAGTTAAATACAATATGGATTTTCATGCTCAATATGTAATGAAAATTGTTAGTGACATTACAGTATAGATCATATTCAAAATAATGTTTTCCATAAACATCAATTATAGGTAGCCATACATTTGTAAAAAATCCTTTCACCATTTATTTTTAATATTGGGTTTGGAAGAATAACATTAATATGGTCACTATCGGAAAGAAATCCAAATTGTGACCATGTTACTGAGAAACAATGCTGGTCAGAATTTGGATTTGTTTACTTCTGCGGAACGTAATCCCCAAGAATCCCCCGTTCAACAAGGTGTCGGGAAAGGTAACAATAATATATACACATGACTCAGTACAAAGAGCGACAATTGCGCTCGTGAAATCTGTTGTAAGGATTGATTGTCTCGGTAGCTTAGTGGTCAGAGCAGCTGGGCGTGAACCAGTATATACGGGTTCGATTCCTAGTCAGGGCGACAAATTCTTTGAACAAATTTAATACAATTATTGTTACTCAGTAACATATTACAATTTGGATTTCTTTACGACTGTGAAGAGTAATCGCCTCAAGTAGGTGACGGGAAAGTTGACAATTACAATTACATTTAAAAGAAAATGGCTTAATCATTATTATCGAAGGAAGTTCATTTACCTGTTATAATTATAAGAGGTAAATGTACTTCCTTCGATATTATTGTAAAAAGACTCAGGACAAAGAAGAAAATACCGATAACTGTCAGATTGATCGTGTGAATATAAATTGTTTATCACTTTTTTCACATAACACACTTCACGTCCATTCAATTTTTTCACATAATGAACAGTTTTTATTTCACAACTTTTTTGCCATTTACAGCAACCATTCATTTTTGGCACCGTAAATATTCAACGCATTGCATTTACAGTAGTCTTTTTGTTTATTTAACGTTACAAACAGTTAAAAATGCATGTGGCTTGTAGAGAAGTACAACCTCTGCAAGTTTTCTTGAGCTTCGGAGTCCCTACACCCTTTTTTACCACACTAAGTTGAATTGTTGAGAGGAAGGTTTTCCAATTGGCAATCTAAAATTGTTCCCTCCCGTGAAATAAAAAAAAATATTTTATTCGGCAAATGAGCACAATTTGACTCTTTTCGTGATCCATCTGTAGGGATCGACTAGCAACCTTGAAAACATGAAGTATGACTATCTGACGATTCTACTGAATAAATGACTAAATTCACCACCAACACTTCAGAAATTTCAAGAAAAGTTTTAAGAATATATTGCCATAAAATTTATTTTAGTTGCAAAACTTTGTTGAAATATCATGTTCCACTATATAATATATTCACAATTGAATTTGAAGTTGTATAATTATTTTAAATAAATTGATGGAATGTTTAAAGATTTATAATTTTCAGTGAAAGTCTGTATTCTTAAATAGTTGTTAAACAATTCTTAAACTATAAAATTATCTACGCCAAAACACGGGTAGAAGAAACACACACACATTATATATATATATATATATATATATATATATATATATATATATATGTATAATAATTAAAATATAATTTGCCTTTAATACAACCACAAAATGACTTCTTATTAAGCTTTTTCACTAGACCTTATCAACATGTGTCAATAATTAAGTCTTCCATTTATAGGGAGAAGAAAGTCCTCTGCATTTTCGAGAAGTATATCACAGAATGATGACATTCCTGACGACATTCTTCAGAGGCGTTTGAGTATTATCAAAAACGAGAATTGTAAATCACATGATACAGTGAATCTTGGAAGCAGTGTCAAAATATTTGACGAAAAAATGTATCATCTCACGGCGAATATGGACGAAATAAATGAAAAACATAGAGATGAACGAATCTCAAAAACTCCCCAACCGGAGGAATCTAAAATCAGTTTCAGGTAACACTTTATTTCAAACAGCCGCTATTATAAAAAAAATTATGAAATCGTATTTTTTTAAGCCAAGAAAAATTGATTTTTTGTATCTATAACAATTATGACAGTGAGGATATACAGAGGATAATTTTCAACATTATCAATGTTGGCATTAAAATTATTTATTCGTGTATGTTGGATACATTTTTGTGAAGGAAGTTATTGTACGCCTGACTGAATAGTACACTGTATGAATAGTACACTGTACTTTGCAGTACAGTGTACTATTTATTAGTATAGTCTAACATCGATATCTCGAATTTGAAGGGGAAAGAATAAGTATAGAAAATATTTCGACATATCAAGGTTCGAGTAAGTTCGATAAAGTGAAATTGCAGGTTTAGATTTCCGAAAGAATTGTCTGCCGTTCATCTTTAGTCTAAAGCCCACAAACACAATTACATAAATAATTCGTGACAAAAGTCTGTAAACAATATCAAATGACAACAATTTTTAATAATTAATTAATTTTCTCACAAACTACTTGGAGATTGAGTAATCTTTCAAACTGAGAAACCTTAGGCAAAAGTTTTCTTCCGTACTGACGATGTCTCACTTCGTAGCGTTTGAACGTGACTTGATGAGGGGCAGGTGGTTGGAAATTGGATATAGCATCGGGCAATCCATCCACAGATTGGGGTGGGTTGAAAATCAAGTAATTCGAAACAGTTTTCAGTGAGCTCTAACACTGGACTGAAAAGGAAGACAGACCGCAAGGCAACTGGCCCCCTGCAAACTCGTTTCCTGTATTTCAACTTCCAGTGGAAAAGAAAAGAGCACAATCGAAGTTCATCGGCACAGCCAGAGAACAACAAAAATTCGTGTTATGGAGGTTCGTATTCGGAAATATTCGATTTATAACGTTCATAAACATTCATGTGTATGGGAAAGGAGAACGAAAATGAAAAGAAAATTTGAGTTATCACGAAATTCGAGTTATAGAGTTTTAATGGTTCCAATGTATTAGTATTAGAGAAAAAAGTAAAGTGAGAAAGTATAACTAGTTCTGTAGAACGTGTTTAAGATGACTCTAAATAATATTCTAATCAATGGCGCGTCCGTTTTTTCGATATGTGCTATTTTTATTTGTAGAGGCAGCAGAATTCTTGTGGAATTCCAATAATAATAATAATAATAATAATAATAATAATAATAATAATAATAATAATAATAATAATAACTTTATTATTTACGAAAAAATATTCCGCAAACTATTTATTTAATCATACATCTCTCTTGAGAAGTATTTGAACCTTGTAGTCGGTTCTCTTGCCCACTGATGATGGAGCATACATCTCAAAGCTTGCCTATTCGTATGAATTGTTTATGGGAGATTATTTATTATAGTTACTCATATTATATTATGATAAATCGTGTGGCAAGCGTATTAATAGGACTTATTTGTGGGGATATTTAAGAGTATTCATTCTCATTGTTGAAGATAGATTATCTGCAACATTTAGCAACCAGAATCAGAAACGCTTTTCGTCAGGGAGGGTGCGAACATTTACCATTAATACATACAAGGCTCATTTTCACACTTACTCAAAAATGGCTCCAAATTTCTGCATTAATCTTTGTCCTGAGATAGCGCAAAAGGCGCTTCAAGAAATGGTACAGGATTCATGTTCGTTGAAATACCAGATTTTTCAAAAATTGCAAAAGTTTAAACTACTTTTAAGCATCTTATAACAATCACAATATTGAGTACAGAAATTTTTTTCTGAATAATTTTTTTGTTGAAAGACAGATCTTGAAAATAAGTCATGTTTAATTTCTTTAAAAAATGTGAGTAATTTTCACGTAAATTTGTGAAAAATATAGGCAATATTTAAGGTGACCATTGTTTTAAGGAAAAGGAGGACTAATAAATTTAACAAAAACGTACAACGTAAATAAATTAAACATTTTATAAAATCAAATAGAAATACACTAATTATGTTTTATCTCTTAACTTTTTAATTAAACGAGTATATTCCATTGAATGAATATTTTTGGTTAATATATAATTTTCTAGCAGTACATTGGAAAATTCGGAACAAGAAATATCCTTCATATTGGATTTTATGATACGTGCTGCAGCTAGAATATCTTTTAACTCTCTACACCCTCAAAGCCGACCTTCTGAAAACCTTCACACACATACACAGTAATTTAGATCAACATATCCGAAGGTTAGAAGAGGTCATTCTCTACACAGATAGTTAGGTACACATCGACAACACTGCGAATCTTCCCAACTGTGCACTCGTGACTTCACAAAATACACAGACACCACATACAGTCGCAACTCAAAACAAATTTAGTTTTTTAGATTGTAAAACAGATTTTACTCGCCTTCCTGATCCTCACAACCCTTCTCTGCCATCGAGAAATACATGCACAAACCAACAAAGCAAACAGGCTAGGAAGCGCGTGAAAACTAAAACACGTAAAGCTGCGTATCCTAGCCCACTTTAAAACAAAGACAATCCTACTGAATCTAAAAAACACGTACTTATATTAGCTGACAGCCACGGCCGCCATCTTTCTTCCATTCTCAGTAGGAAGGTACCCTCCAACTACTCAGACTCATCTATTTTTAAACCTAACGGGAGGTTTGCAGACGTGACTACAGAATTGGAACCCACACGAAGACACTGACCAATCAGGACACAGTCATTTTCATAGGAGGGCAGAGTGACATTAATTTGCGCGGTGACTTTACACCTGAACAACATGTAAATAAATTTCAATGTGCCGCCCAAAATACAAACATTGTAGTCGACTGTGCCCTTCAGGTACAACAGACCAACACTATGCAGCGAGATTAAGCACGCAAACCAACAATTAAAACTGCAACTGAGAGAAACAAATGTAACACTCTTTGAAATTTATTTATTCTCAGCAAAACACTTCACCACTCCGCATGAACCACTCGAACCTTGCAGGAATACATGCAGCCAGAAACAAGCTTGCATCAACTACAGTCCTACGCAGTCTCCTGCCAAAAATCCACCACTTTCTCCACCCCAGCCTTATTTCGAACCATCTTACCTCCTCCTCTGATCCTTCTCCCGTTTCTCTCACTACCAATTCTCCTAAACCTGATGCCCCAATTTCCTCACAACCTATCACTGATTGGCCACATACAACCTTCGACCACGCACTCGAGGTAAAAATTGAGTAAATACAGTCAGATGCAGTAGAAAAACATTCATGTAGGTACTAGCAAAAGATAAACAAATACTATAATGTTCAATCTCTTGCAAATAAAACTGATTTTATCGTTGAAGGTCTACAGAGCGATTTAAATCAAATGTATGTTTTTTGCTTTACAGAACATTTGTTATTTCATAATGAACTTAGCATATTCCAAATTCCAAACTTTTATCTCGCAGCTATTATTGTAGGGTAAATGTCCTGCATATGGGGTTATTGCATGTAAGTTAAAAATAATTCGATTATATCATCTTAACGGAATTAATTGTGTCCATTGAAAATCCATCTACAGGCCTCCAACAACGAGAGCAGTAGATTATCTTATGTTGTTTAACAAACTGGAGATAACCCTAAACAAAATCAGCAGCTCTTTTGAATCCGTTGTTGTATGCAGAGATTTTAACATTCATTTTCTGGTCGAATCTTGCGAGAAAGAGCAGTTTCTAAACTTCATTCCCTTCACCTTAGATATTACAATAAATGTACCTCCACAGATCACACTAAATTCAAAGAAGGCTATCGATCGAATAATAAATAAATAAATAAATAAACCAATACACGATATGCAATTGAAACTAAAGATTTAGGATACAGTGATCGGGATCCACAAATTCAAAATAATACACGTATGAGTAGATTGTTCACGTAAAAGTGAATTAAAATTATTCATAAATTACTTGCTACTAGAGTCATGGGACGCGGTTTACTGTTGATACAAACGATAAATATATTATTTTTTTTTCAACGCTTTCATTTAATCTTAACTCTTGCTCTCCTCTTCATAAAAGAAAATTATTTTTTTCGCGGAAAATAAATTTTTAGATAACACAAGGGATTAGGACATCATATACGAAACAAACGATTTCTTTCTTTCATTTCTAAGCATCATAACGAATCTCAAGATTTCCTCTTCTACTTTAAAAAAATACAAATCATTGTTTAAAAAAGTTATAAGGCAGGCTAGAATCATGAACGATGATCAGGATATATTGAACTCGAATAATAAAACAAAAGCAATGTGGAATATAGTAAAAATTTCTACAAAGACACAGACAAAAGACAAAAACAACTAGAAACCTTGCAGACAATGTTGTTTTAAAAGATGTCGATAGAAATGGAAACGATCTGGCAACAGTGTCTAGTCTCTTTAATTAATAATTTTCCAAAAGTGCTGTCGATCTCACTAAGGGTCTCCAGCCACAAAATTCATCATCAGACGATTCCCAAAAATTTTAGACTCGATATTCGTTTCCAAAACTTTTTCCAATGAAATTCTCAGAACAATCGGTAGACTAAAAAATAAATATTCGGCCGGCTTAGTTGAATTTTCGGATTGTTTGTTGAAGACTCACATATTAATTGGATTGTTGGTGAAGTAGATACCTTTTTTATTACGATAAATAAATAAAGATATTGTCAGGTATCAATATTTTAATTCAACTTATGATCATATCGATCGCATAGCGATCATCTTCAGAGCTGCAGAACTTTGTTTTCGGCCCAGAAGCTGCAAGCTCTGAAGATGATCGCTACGCGATCGATATGATCATAAGTTGAATTAAAATATTGATACCTGACAATATCTTTATTTATTTATCATGACTCACATATTACTATGTATAAAACTCACATATTAAATGTATCATTATGCACAGGAATATTACAAGATTTTTTAAAAGAACTAAGGTTAAGCCATTTTTCAAAAAAGGCAACAAAAATGTAATTCAAAATTATTGGCCAATTTCTCTCTTGTCGTTTTTTTC